CAGCAAGTCTCTACTATACTTCCTCTCCGGTCCCAGAATTCTACACTTTCTCCTACTTCCAAACCTAGGAGAATTGCTTTTCTGTACCCCCAAACTTCATGTGTTCCATTATCATCCATCCTGCCAGGTGGAGACCTGAAGACAATACACTGTAATAGAATAGCACAACCCAGTAACAAGCCAGGAGTAACCCCTGAGCATTGCCGGGTGTGACCCCAAAAGCAAAAAAACAAACAAAAAAAACCCAAAAAATAAAAATAGAAAACAAAACAAAGAATGGAGCTACCACCTCTTTCACTTTGCATTTTCAAGGAAAGTCTGAATATATTTGGGGGGGGGGGATTTCTTATTTTGGGTCAGCTCCTGACTTGGTCCTCGGTGGGTGGGTGGGCATCTGGTGCCAGGAATCAAATTCTGGAGTCCTGTATACAAAGCATGCACTCCAATCCATTGAGCTGTTTCTCTGGCCCTGCATAAGCATTATTTATGGGGATGGAGCCTGCTGGCAAGTGTTTAGGGCTGACTTCTGGTTCTCTGCTCAGGAATCATTTCTTGCCCTGGGGATCAAAATGAGATTGACAATGTGCATGGCAAATGCCTTAACTTTTACTATCTAACTTTTACTATAGCCACAACTGGCTGTGTTCGGGGCTTACTCCTGGCTCTGAATCCAGGTTATCTTCTGGCAGGCTCAGAGAACCATATGGGGTACCAAGGATCGAACCCATGTCAGCCCTGTGCAAGATAAGCACCCTACCCACTGTATTATCACTGTAGCCCCATTAAGAATGCTATTAAGTATTCTTAATAGCAAAGTAGAAAAAACATATTTTAGTATTAAATCATTTAATATGAATATGGATACTGTCATTGTAAAAAATCTTAACATTAAGACTAAATTTTACTTGGTTAATACATAATGCACTTGTGACTAACACTGGTCTAATGAGGGTTATTTTATACTCTGCTAAAGGTTTTGATAAATGTGACTGCAAACAAGTTGGTAGCTCAATCATAGGAGGAAAATGAAAGAACTGTAAGAAAAGGGAGGACAGAAACATCCCCAGGAATGTGAGTAAAGCCCTATTCTAGAACACATAACACTTTAGTGGGGAGAGGAATTATGTCTGTCCAAAATTGTGAGACTGAGGTGATTTCTACATGGTAGAATCCATTCCCACACGCTCTTTCAGCTTCCTGAAGATGGGTTGAGGATTATAGCACTGCTTGGTGGTTAAGTTGCCAATCTTCGGTAGGTTATTCTTTAAGGCATGGTGAAGTTGTAGGGAAAATTCTGTCACTGAGAAGTATTTTATGCCAAATGAGTTCACTTTCCCTATTAGGAACTGAGTGGTATCAGACGGATTGATCTTAGCTGTATTATGGATTTTTACAAGGCATAGTGGTGAGGCTGAGTAGTTTTAACAGGATTTAAATTCTGGTGATATTTAAAAAAAATAGTTGTTTAGCAGTGGAGACATGTCCATATTCTTTTAATGGACTTTATGACCTTTTTTTGGAAAGGAAAAACAAGGGTATTTAAGTATGTATATACATATTAGGCAGTTAGAATAATTAGTTCTAGAAGCAAAATGTAACATGGTTAATGATAAAAACATAGTAGCAAAGGGAAAGTGAAAGTGAGGGGAAAAAGATTAATTAGGCACTGGAAGAAATGACTTATAAAGGTAATTAGAGTCATGGGAATAAGCTTTTATATGATATGCATATACTGTTTTAGCTCAGTCAGTTCACTTACTTTATTCACATGTCTGAGAGTTACAGGGGGTCAAAGTAACAAAAAGGGTCATAATTTTGCAGTCTAAGACAAAAATGTAACAGTTATCTCCTGCTCCCTTATTGTCAAAATCCTTCCTGCTTAAGAATCTATTACTAGAATCATCTGTTTATCATGCTATTGTAACCTGAAACTTTGCAAAGCGAAGCAATGTTTAAAAAGAGAGTCTTCATTATATGTCTAGTTCTAACTATTTTTGTAGTAGAAATGTAAATATTTCAAAGATATGTACTAAAAATTAAAATGATAAAAAATTAAATTATTCAACCATTCTATTTCTACAAATTTGGCTTAAGAACAGTTTTTTTCCCCCTGGTTTGGTGCTTAGGGAATCAGGTATGGTTTCGGGGATCCAACCTTCCAGCTGCATATAAGGCAAGAGACTTAGCTTCTGTGCTGGAGAGGAAGTACAAGAGGTTGGGAGCTTGCCTCGCCCATGGTGACCAAGGTTCAAGCCCTCGCACTGCATATGTTCCTTTGAGGTTTCTAGGAGAGATCCCTGAGCAGAGCTGTGACCTAAAAGCCCACCAGAGAGGAGGAAAAAAAGACTAAAGAAATTTAACTCCTGTACTGCCTCTTAATTTAGACCCAAGAATGTTCATTTTTGGACTCACTTTGTCGTGCTCAGTGGCCATACCTGACTGGGATTCAAACCAGAGTGGCTGTCGGTAGCAGTTGCTTGCTTGGGAAATGTCTTAATCTTTATACTGTCTCTCTAGTCCAAATGCTCATTTTTAATCTATGAAGTTGTTATGAGATACAGTACCAACCTGAAGAGCTGATGGCATTCAAATTTTATCGCATTCTTGGTAAAAATAAAGAACACATTGCTGGCATTATTCGGATTTTGTGAGGGGTCCCTGCCTTAAAACTAATGAACAACTCCCATACCATAAAGTCAGATGATCTGGATACATAGAAGTGATTTTCTCTACCACAGAGATTGTAGTAAGTTAGTTGCTAGGAGTCTTTATTCTTGGGGTGTGATCAGGTGGAGTTGAATTCTGCACAAACTGTGTTAGGTTGATTCCTGTTCTGAATTGCATGAGATGATCGTTTCTCCATTATTCTACGAAAAAATAAAGGGGTTTTTTTTTGAAAGATTGTAAGAATGAGATTCTACCGTGAATCCCCAAGAATAAGAAACATGGTCAGCTCATTCCTCAATGGAAACCCCCAATTGTCACATCATGTCAATCATCTGACGTGTAATCTGACTTCCATTGAGCTGGAATGTACTTTAAAGGTCAGATTTCTGGATGAAGAATTCTAGCTCAGTGGGTTATGCATCAAGAATGACTAAATCCAGAGAACCACTTAAGTGTGGGCTGAAATTGCTTCTCTTCAAAACAGCAGAGGAGAACAAAGAATGGAAGATTTGATGTTTCTCTTTGGCTTAAACAGCTTTAGAACTTTTCCAACGCTCTTGCCTCTATCTCACTGAAACAGTGAATAAAGAAGTAAGGCAGGAGACAGAAGCCTGTGCCCTGAATTCCACAGAATTTGCAGATGAGTTCTGCAGACACTATTTGGCTGACTTTAAAAAAATTGGGGAGCTGCTCATTTAGAAACAAATCCAAATTTCTGGCCTCGCTTAAGAAATTAGGGCCTCTGGCCACAGTGGGCCTATAATTCATTTTGGTGAATTATACTAGGCTGGAGCTGAGAACTCGTTGCCCTGGACACAGATGTTTCCCATTTTGTCATTCTTCATCACTCCTGTATGTCTGTCTCACACACGTTCCCTTGATCTGTCTCACCCAGAGAAATTCTGAAGTTGAGATTCCCACAGTTTGTGAAATGGGGGAAAAGTTGCTTAAAAAAAAGGGGGCAGTTTTTATTAAAATGATGTGGGGTGGGGAAACAACGGCTAGAATATTGCTCTGGAAATATGCTGGTGTTTCAACCATTTTTTTTTCCAGAATGACTCAAAGTACAGATTCAGGTACTGAAGGATGGATCTTGCAGTAGCCGCGCTGCCACGGCAACCGGACGACCTTGGGCGAGTCCGCTGGGCTCCCTGTCCAAGGTGACCATCTGCAAAGGGCTCATACTTATTCTCCCTCACGTGGCTGCGGCACTGCACCCAGGCTCTGGTGCAAGCACGTCTAGAGTCATTTTTATTGGAGCTTCCCGGAACGAGGGTCTGTTCCCCACTAGCTAACCCCGCGACTGCAGAAGTCAGGTTCCCCGAATCCGTGGTCGTTCTGGGCTGCTCCCACTTCCCACCAAAGGTGGGCGAGCAGCTGATTCTCAGTGGGGATCGTCTCGAAAAAGTGCAAAGTTCTTTTTTGCGGGGGGGGGGGGAGGAGAGGAGGGCGGGATGAGGGAGAAGTGGGAGGTGGGGCGCTCAGGACTTTCTCCAGGAGCTCCGCTCAGTGGTGGGGTCACTGCAGGCGAGCTCGGGACACGCAATGTGATGCTGAGAATCACAGTGGGTGTCCCCGGGGCATCACACCCGATGATGTGATGCCGGGGATGAAGTCGGGGGGCGACTGGCGTTGCGTGCCTTGCCAGGGCCAGCGCCCTTACCCGCCGCACCAGCGCGCCGGCCCGGACCACGGGAAACTTTGCCCGGTGCAAGCCGCTTCTGGGAAGAGGCGTCAAGTTGTCGCCGGCAGGGACGCGCTCGGAGTGACATCCCGACTCCCGACGCAGAGCCCTCCTGGCCTTCCCGGGGCGCCTTTCTGCAGAGGAACCCCCCCCGCAAAGAACCGGGGTGCATCCCGAGAGCTCACCCTCCCGCCCAGCGGTCCGCATCCTCATTTCCCTCCCTCCGGCCCCCCCCCAGCGCCCCCCCCTCCCCGCGCCCCCTCCCACGTGACAAGAGCCGGAACCGTCACTTCCGGCGGCGCGGGCGGCGCGCCTGCGCGGGGCGCCCGGCTCGGGGCGTGGGGAGTGTGGTGGTGGTGGGGGGGGGGAGGAGGGGCGAGCGTTCGCCGCGGCGTCGCCGCCAAACAGCCGCGAGTGGCGGGCGGCGCGCAGCTCGGGCGGCCGCCGCGACCCGAGCCGGGCCTCCCTGCCCCGCCCCCTCACTCCTTCCCTCGCCGGGGCCGCCCCCGACTTCCGCCCCGCGCGCGCTCGCCCCGCCCCCTCCCCTCCCCTCCCCGCCCCGCCCCGCCCCGTCCCGTCCCACCCCGCTCCGCCCCGCCCCGCCCTCCCCGCCGCGGCAGCTGCTGCCGGCGAGCCCGGGCGGCGCGGGCGGCGCGCGCGCGGGATGTGAGGCGGGGCGGGCCGCAGCGCTCGCACCTCGGGGCGGCCGCCAGTCGCGGGGCCGGCGGGGCGCGCGCCACCATGAAGAAGTTCTCGCGGATGCCCCGCTCCGAGGGCGGCGGCGGCGGCGGCGGCGGTGGCGGCGGCGGCGGCACGGCGGGCGGCGGCGGCGGCGGCGGCGCGGCGGGCGGCGGCGGGGTCGGCGTGGGCTCCGGCGGCTCGTCCGTGGGGGTCCGGGTGTTCGCCGTGGGCCGCCACCAGGTCACGCTGGAGGAGTCGCTGGCCGAAGGTAGGCGCGCGCGGGCGGGCGGCCGGGCGGGCAGGTGCGGGCGGCGCGTGAGCGGCTGCGCCCGTGAGGAGGAGGAGGAGGAGGAGGAGGAGGATGAAGAGGAGGAGGAGGATGAAGAGGAGGAGGAGGATGAAGAGGAGGAGGAGGAGGAGGGGTGTGTGTGGCGGTTGCCGACCCTCCTGGGACGCCGGGCCGGGCGCGGGCACCGCGGTGGCGGCGCGGCGCGGTGTCGCGGCGGGGCCGCTCGGCGCTCGCTGCCCTCCGGGGCTCGGCGCTTTCCGCGCGCGCGCGCGGAGGGGCCGCGAGTCGGGGCGGGGGGGGTGTCCCGGGCCCCGCGGGGTCCGCCCCCCACGGTTCACCTGGCGGCGGGTCGCTCGGACCCGCGGTTACTCGGACCCGCTGCCCGCACCCGCGGGGCGCTCGGAGTCGGCGACGGAAGCGGCCGCCTCGCCTCGGCGCGCGCCTGTCAAGCGGTCCCCGCGCGCGCGCTCGCGCGTGTCCCTCGCGCCCCGCGCGCCCCGCCGGGGTCCTCGGCGCCCCGGGCTGCACGGCCACGCTCTTGACCTTAGCCCCCCCCCACCCCCGACCCGACCCCCCACCGAGAGAGCTGACCCCGGGGGTCAAGCAGCTGCTGGACCCGGGCCCGGTCCCTTCCCGGGGTTCCCCACCCGGGCTCGGGGAGACCCTGGGAGACGGGAGCTGGGTCGCCCCGTCCCTCCGTCCGCCGGACCTTGGCGTTCCCGGAGAGCGTTTCTGCCCCGTGTCTGTCGCAGGGTACGCGGAAAGCGGATCCGCGCCAAAGAGAAACCGCGGGTCCCCTTCCATCCCCGCCCTCCGAAGTAGCCGCCAGAGGTGTCATGTAGAAATTGTTGGGGGGGCAGGTGTTAGATGTCCGTGGGTCCCCTATCTCCTGGCTGGACCTTGGAGAGGTTTGCAAAAGGGCGTCGTTTAGCTTCTCAAAAGAATAAGTGTTTGGTGGTTGGTCTTGATGTTTATTTTTTTTTAACTGTGCTGTACGCCCCCCCCTCCCCCCTTTAAAAAAATTTACATGGATTTCAAGTCGTGTTGGGTTTTGAGATGATGCAGATACTAACCCCGATGTCTTCCTTCTTTGACTTGCTGGACTTTATTTGCACTTGATTTGAGTGGCGTTACGCCCATTTTACTGAATTCTAGGAGGTCTTTTATTTACTAGAAATAAAGCCCTCATTTCTCATTACTGGATTTCTGATTTGTAGCTTCTAGTACTGCTAAGCATATCCTATCATAGAAGTCGTACTGTGAAATGAAAATAAAAATTCCAGAAGGGGTGTCCTCACTTAACACTCCAGACCTCCCACAAACTGCTGCTGTCACTGTGCCCCGTTAACATAGGTTTGCCATTTCTATTGGACAGCCTCCTAATCAAATACTAGAAGGAAGCAGGGATTTAGAAAGTCTTTTGGAAGATGGGACTTCATCCCGTGATAACTTCTGGTACTAGGCTTTCAGCCTTCTCCAGAGGAGAGGCTCAAATCCAGATTTTCTTTCCTGGTATATTTCATTGCTTCCCAGCATATGCACAACAGAAATGATATGTATTTGGTTTCCTTCTCCATCATGACCGCTCTTTTGGTATTTGGGCTGCAGGCAGTGGTTTTCAGGGCTCACTCTTGGCTCTGCGCTCAGAGATCACTCCTAGCGGTGCTCAAAGCCATGGGCCAGGATAGATACCATGCTGGGTGGGAACTCTGGTCAACCACATGCAAGGCAAGCGCCCTGCCCGCTGTACTCAGGTACTTTAATATCCCTCATCCCTTCCAAATCAGTAATGCCTCAATTTAAGTAAGACATTTAAGCACAAGCTGGATTCAGTAATTGACAGTTGTTTGCATCATTATGCCATTAGAGAAATTACTGGCAAAAAGGCTTTTGAGTTCAGAATATGTGAATTAGGGGGAGGTATGCCGTTGAGTGGAAAAAAAGGGTAGAAGGAAGCTATGATTGACCAGAACACAAACTTAGTAAGTTTTTAATACTTCTTGCTTTGAATCAGCGTTGTTTATAAAGGGGCCTAGACCTCATAGATTATGTGCCCTGAAGTGTTTTTGTCATGCTATTGGAAACATAGCCTGCTAACTCTGAATGACCTCTGCAGTGTCTTTGAATCTAAAATAAATGTGATGCTCTCTCCTTCCTTCCCCCCATACTTACACACGCAACACATATTTAGTAATATGTATATTCTGTATTTAGTTTCCCTTTTTCTTGGTCACTTATGTGGGTTTTCATGACCATGCACATGTAAAGCCTGCCCTCTGCCATTGAGCTATAATCTGGCCCCTCTTCTTAGTTCTTGAGTGGTGAGTGTGAATACAGAAGAACCATTGCTCTGAGGAGAAATACAGGAGTAGGATACCTCAAGCCTTTGCTCACACTTTTTGTTGTTTACATGTAGCACTGTCCTCCCGTTCCTCATCGATTTGCTCGAGTGGGCACCAGTAACGTCTCACAACAAATTGTGAGACTTTTTACTGTGTTTGGCATATCGAATACGTCACGGGTAGCTTGTGAGGTTTTGCCGTGCGGGCGAGATACTCTTAGTAGCTTGCTGGGCTCTCCAAGAGGGGCGGAGGAATTGAACCTGGGTTGGCTGCGCGCAAGGTAAATGCCCTATCCACTTTGCTATCATTCCAGCCCAATAGTGTTTACATGTATACACATAATTTTATGTGTGTTTCTAATTGAAGATGTATATATTGTTGACTAAGCGATATGAATATTGAGCTAATGGCCAGTGACACTAATTCATGCTTAAAAGAAGCATTATCTCATATACACAAGCTTTCTTGTGCTGGTGTTGTGCTAGATAGTACTTTGGCACTATGATTGAGGAATTGTTTGGTTTGGGGCCACACCCAGGTTGCTACTCCTGACTCTAGTTGGGAGGAATGGCTACTGGACCTACGGGTCCCCAGGTGAAGCATGCACTCCAGTTCTTTGAGCTATCTTTCTGGGCCCTTCACAGTCATGTTAGCACTGTAGCACTGTCCTCCCATTGTTCATCGATTTGCTCAAGCAGGCTCAGTAAAGTCTCCATCATGACACTTATTGTTACTCTGTTTGGCATATGGAATACATCACGGTAGCTTGCTAGGCTTTGCCTTGGGAGCGAGATACTCTCGGTAGCTTGCCGGGCTCTCTGAGAGGGGCAGAGGAATCGAACTCAGCCCGCCTGCGTGGACTGCGTGCAAGGCAAATGCCCTACCCACTGTACTGTCACTCCAGCCAGTTACTGAACAAAGTAAGTTAAAAATACAGATATAAGAAATATATGACACGAACTAGACGTTGAAAGAATCATTTGCTTGTAGTCTGAGTTTAGAAGGCAGAAAACCAGTGATGTTGCAGTACTGATTCCAGCTGCCCCATTAAAAATATCCAGTAGTATGTGCATGTTTCATGTTACAGTCAAAGTACTACTGCAGATTTGGGGCTATTGTATTGATTTTGGGCATAGGAATGAATTTTAGGTGAGTTTAAGTTTATGGAATTCTTAAATAATGATCAACTATATGTCTGTTATATTTGTATTCAGATATTTACACGCACTTATTATCTATATAGTATACATTAAATTAAAAAAATTTGTGGGACTAAATTAAAAAAAAATTTTGTGAAACTTCAGTGGGCCCCAGTGATGCGTATGTCCCTGGGAAACCATTCCTGATGAGGACGCCTTGATGATATGCTGTGCAGGCCAACAGCTGTATCCAGCAGGAAGCTTTTATGGTGCCAGGGATCGAACTGGGGATTTCGTGTATGCAACAAGATGTGTGCTGTAGCCTCGATATTACCTGCTTACCCCCATATTTAGATCATAAAAACAGATTCTCAACTATTCTTCAGTTGTATTATAACGAAGCATTGAACTGATTGCTGAAATGTTTTGTATCTTTTTCTAGTCAAATATATTTTTTTATGCTTGAGCATGGTGAAAATTACACTTTTTTTAGGATCTACTCAAAGTTTAGAGGACTGCTATCAAAGTGGGACTTTTTCATGGGTTTACTAAAACACAATTTCAGGGGGACATGCTAACCAAGTCCAAATTTGGGCTATAGAGATGAGGTAGAGGTATAGGTACGTTTCAGCTTGAAATATTTTTAAATTGTTAGACACTTGCAATTCAGTGTAAGCTGCCAAGTTTCTATTAAAGCATACTATTTTGTTTTGACTGCGAGCTTCTGTCAGCCTTCTGTGCTATTCAGAGGCATTTAATATTGACTGATAATAGGAAGAAGTTGATTCTGCTGTAGGGGGGACTATTTTTAAAAAGTCTTTGGTGCTTACATATCATTGGACTAAATAATGTGAGGGAGCTTAGAACTGGGATACTATCAGTAATATATTATGGTACTCTAACATTCGGTTGTGGGGGGCTGCAAGGTACAGTATTTTTGAATATGGTTGCTTAGATAAGAATTTCTGGCATGCAAGGCTAGAGAGATAGTACTGGAATTAAAGTGCTTGGTTTCCATGTGGCTGGCCTGGGTTTGATCCCTGGGGCAATGCATATGGTTCCCTGACCTCTGCCTGGAGTGACCCCTGAGCACAGAGCCAGGAGTAGCTGTGCACTGCTTGATGTGACACACAACCCCCCCCCCCCCCCCGAAAATGAAACAAAAAAAGAATTCTGAAATGAACAAAGAAGGTTGTTGAAACTCAGTAATTGGAGCCCAAGAATTTTGCTAGAGTTATGTCAGAGTAACTCAGCACCATTAGAGTTCACTGCTTAGATTAGGGGGAATGAATTTAGAGTAAATGTTAACTAATTCTTATTTTTAACTGGAAGGTACAGAGAAATGCATGTGATTTTGTCCTATAAATCTCTAGGAAAATGATGGATGTTAGCATGATAACATTCACAGAAATTGTCTGTGACTCCCAAATCATTTGTAAGCTACAGATCCTGAGAAAAGACAGACCAGAGACAGTCAAGTATTACTACTTATAACAAT